GTCTTTAGGGACGAAAATCGGAGCGCCAGCTCGTGCATGGCGCCCATGGGGTTGATGACCACTATCCTGGCCCCTGCTCCTACTCGGCTGGCTGCCCCGTCCACGTAGACTTGCCAATTTTCGTTCAATCCTTCCTCCTTGCTCACCACGCATTCTGTCGCGAAATCCGCAAGCACCTGCGCTTTGATCGCTGGGTGGGGCGAATACTTGATATCATACTCTCTTAACTGCACAGCCCATTTCACCATGCGCCCCGCAACGTCCATTGACCCCAGTGTCTTCTTTAACGGCAGATTCGTGAGCACCACCACGGTGTGTGCTTGGAAGTATGGGCGCAACTTTTCTGCCGCCGCGACTACGGCCAGGGCTGCCTTCTCTATGGGCGCGTAGCGCGTCTCAGGACCCGTCATTACCTTGCTTACATAGTACACCGGGCGCTCCTCGCCGTCGGCTGCGGCTCGCGAGACGAGCACCGCGCTTACCGCTGTTCGTGATACCGCAATGTACAAGTACAGCACTTCGCCTTCCCGGGGCGCTGTCATGACTGTGGGTGACACCAGCAGGCTCTTCAAGCCCTCGAATGCCTCGTCGCACTCATCCGTCCACTTGAAGCGCGCTGCCCTCTTCAGGACTCTGAAAAACGGTGCGCCCTTGTCAGCCGCCCGGGGAATGAAACGTCCCAACGCCGCCAGGCGCCCATTCAGACTCTGCACCTCCCTTGGTGTTCTTGGGGGCTCAAGGCGCCTGATCGCCTCTACCTGCTTCGGGTTGGCCTCTATCCCCCTCCTTGTTATCATGAACCCCAAGAACTTGCCTGCTTCCGCACCGAAAACGCACTTGAGAGGGTTCAGCCGTAGAGAGTAAGAGCGCATGGTCTCGAAAGTTTCGCACAGGTCCCTTAGGTGTCCTCCTTTCTCCTGCTTTTGACTACCAGGTCGTCCACATACGCCTCCACATTCCTCCCAATCTGTTTCTGGAACACGGTGTTAACCATGCGTTGGTAAGTCGCCCCCGCGTTCTTCAGTCCGAAGGACATGACCTTATAGCGGAAGTTTCCGAAGGACGTCATGAATGCCGTCTTTTCTCGATCCTCCTCGCACATGAGGATCTGGTGGTAACCTGAAAACATGTCCAAGAAGCTTAGCGCCTCGTGGTAGGCGGTCGCATCCACCAGTTGGTCGATGCGCGGCATTGGGTACGTGTCTGACGGGCACACTCGGTTCAGACTTGTGTAGTCGACGCACATCCTCCAATCGCCAAGCGCTTTTGGGACTAGTACGACGTTAGACAACCACGTAGTGTACTTGGCCTCCTCCACGAAGCCGGCATCGAGCAACTTTCCCACTTCTCGGCGCAGCGCCTCCTCCTTCTCCTCTGACAACGGCCTCCTTTTCTGTTGCACGGGGCGCACGCCCTTTTCTACTGACAGGCGATGAACCGCGACTTCCGGGCTTACTCCAGGCATCTCGCGGGCGCTCCATACGAAAAGATCTGCGAACTCCTTCAATAACTCGACCAGCGACTCGGCCGCTTCCCCGCTGGTATGGGCCGAAATGCGCACGCATCTCTCGGGGCGCCTCTCGTCTAGAGGGACCTGGATCTCGGCGTCCGCCGCCTCCGCCCTGGGTAGATCCTCCGGCCGCACATCTATGTTGTACATGCGTATCCTCTTGACTAGGCGGGCCTCCTGCGATGCTTCTCCTCTGGACACCCCCACCCCCTTCGGGGTGACAAATTTCAGGACCTGGTGGCAAGATGATGCCACCCCGTTGAATAAAGCTAGGAGCGGGCGTCCCAGGATTGCGTTGTAGTTAGAGGGACAATCCACAATGCCAAAGTCCACGGTATGCGTGATCCGGTGCTCCTCCTCTCCCAACGTCACAGGCAGGCTCACCCGTCCCACGACCCGCGCGGGCACCCCTGAGAACCCGACCAAGACCGTGTCGGCCAGCTTCACGAGGCTAGGCGACAGTTGCATCCTATCGAAGGTTGACTGGAACAACACGTCCATCGAGCTCCCCGTGTCAACGAGCATCCTCTTCACTTCGCATCCATCCACCACCCCCCTGATCTCCAAAGTTTCCACCGACGGGACCCGGCACGCCTCCTCCGGGGTTTCATTGAAATGGATTTGCACAGCCGCGCGGGCGCTTGCCGTAGCCGACTTCAACCGCCTTCCTTCCTCCAGCTTCTGCCTCAAGTCAATCGTTCCGGAAATGGCTTCGATGGTCAACCTCACCCGGGTGGGGTTAGCTTCAGGTTCGACCTCGAAGGGAGGAGGCGGGAGCCGCTCGCCTTCCCCCTGTCCCTCACTCTGGGCGTGCTCGTCTGCTTCACCCCGTTCGCCCTCTCGCGTCGGGGCCGCCTTCTCCTCCTGCGCCATACAAGTGCGTTGCGCCTTCTCCTCCCCTTTCCTCACGAATTCATTCAACATTCCCCTGTCTACCAGCCCTTGTATCTCCGACTTGAGCTGATAGCAGTCGGCTGTGTGGTGCCCTCTTTCGCGGTGGAACTCGCAGTACCTGTCCAAGTTTTGCTCATTCGGGCGCCCCGCATGGGTCCCGACCAGCGGAGGTGATACCCCTTATCCCTGGCATATTGCAGGATATTCTTCAAAGAGTCGTTGAGCTCGGTGAAGTTCGACATACTCTTGGGAGGGAAGCGTGGCGGTTCGGGCCGTCGGACGCCCTGAGAATAGCTCTGGGTCATTTGCGGGGCGTGGGGCGGCCTAGGGATCCGGGACGCCTCTTCCTCTCCGGGTCGCGTCTCCCTTCGCTCCATTCTCCTTGCAGCCAAGGTTTCCTCCAGCATGATGACTTTCTGCACTCGACGGTCCAAATCTTCCGTGGACACGACATCACGCTTCGATAGGGCCCGGCACAGCTCCTCACTGTTGGTGCATTCGTCAAGGCAGCACCCTAGGACCGGCGGCTTGACGTCCTTGACCGCCATTACGACCGACATCCACCGCTCGTAGAAGTCCCGCAGCGCCTCGCCTTTGCGCTGCCTGATCTTAAACAGCGCACTGATCGTCAGGCTCCTGCGCTTCCGGCTGGCGAACTTCGAGAGGAACATGGCTGCGAATTGCTCAAAGCTGTCGATCCTCCCTTCCTCGATCTGGTGGTACCAATCCAGCACCACGCCCACGAAGATCGACGGGAAGGCACGGCACAACGTGGCGTCCGAGCTGTTGTACAGCTGCATTTTGGTGAAGTAGTTGTTCAGGTGGTCCTCCGGGTCGGATGTGCCGTCATAGCTGGGAAGTGCCGGAATGACGGCGTTGGCTTGCTCCGCCAAGACGCTTCGCGCAAGCGGCTGCCTTACTCCCCAAGGGCGCCCTGGACGCCTGGGCGCCCATCCGGTCGGCTCTTCAAGGTCTGGCGCTCCGTGACGCGCCCAATGTCATGCTTCCTCCGTGCGCCTTAGCGCGCTTGACATCCCTTCCTCCTCCTCATCTCTCTCTCTCTTCCTTCCGCTGAGGGGAGGCGCAGCGTCCCCCCCTTTCTTGAGGGCTTCCACTTCCCTTCTCAACACCTCTAGCGCCTGGGCTTGCTCCTCAATGATGCTGATCAAATGCTCCTTGGTCAGAGTGACGCCCTCTGATTGGGCCGTCTCCTGGGCCTCGCCTTCCTCTCCTTGCGCCTCCTCGGATACATGCGGCGCCCCTTCCGAGACCGCCTCATTAAGGGCGCGGCTCCTCTCCCCCACCGTTTCAGTCGCCGCCTCCATGAGTCTTTCTGGTTATACCCCCCTTCCTGGCGCGCCAATTGTTTGTGCCACGTAACCTTCCGCCCTCCGTAGTCTCCGGGCGCCTCCCGACTCACGTCCTGTCAGTTCCTCGATCCCCAATAGCTTCCTCCACGCCTGGGTCACACGCTCGCCCCCTACACACAACTGCGCGCACTGAACCCCTTTGAAAGGGCTCGTAAGCACTCCGACGCCCAAGTTAGAACAAATTCTAGAGAGAGAAGTAAGATAAAAGTTGTAGAGAGAAGTTAGAACCTGAGTAAATGAGCTCCACCCACTTCACTATTTATACTCAGGGTAGGGTCGACCAGTGCCCCCCAAATCCGCCCTACGTCATCACCTCATTAAATGCACTGCCCCCTTCTCTCTCTGGGCGCCTCGACATTCTGACACAAATCTGCCCACACAACGCGCATGGCCCCACCCCCTGTCTCTTCCGTACGCTTCTGACCGTTGCCCCCCTTTTGTCGTCATGCGCCCTACCCTAGACCCAGTTCCCCCTGCTTGGGTCTTGACCTGTAGGCCTTTCTTGGGCCGGGTCTCCCCCCTTGGCCAGGCCCACACTCCCAGCCCAGGGCAACACCCTGGCCCCTTACTTGGGCCCTATTTCCTATTCCCCCAACATTATTATTTACTTAATCAATTCCACCTGGATGCCACGTTCTCAATTCCACCTCTGTATTTTTTTTCCAGGTCAGCATTGCAAAAAGATCTACTAACGGGGAATTAACGGACAATTAACGATTGGATATTAATTTGTATATTGATAGTTGAGGATATAAATCCCCGATCCATAATAGTTATGGATATTACATTGTATTTGGGGTTAATATTTTCGTATGGCCTGAACTTTGATCAAAATAAACATCCTGGCCAATCTTTTCGATCTATAACATCGTGGCCTGAACTATGCACCAAAATAAACAATTTGGCCAGATCCGATGTTTGACCGTTAACTTGGACGGTCAAACATGTTGACTAACGGTCAACGCGCCACGTCACTGCCAAGTCAGAAGTTCTGATAAATATTTAATTTTTTCGTTTTTTATTTTTGGTTTAACTAAGGTATTAGATGATTTTTTTTATTTTATAATAATTTAAAATTAGGTAATGTGTGGAAATTGTGAATTATTTTAAATACTTTATGCTGACTTGGCAGTGACATGACACGTTGACTAACGGTCAACGCGTTTGACCATCCAAGTTAACGGTCAAAAGTCGGATCTGACCAAATTGTTTATTTCCCCCACAAAATTTTCAAAGTCGCACGGCAGAAAGAAGGAAGAAGAAGAAGAAGAGGTCAAAAATTAAAAAAAAAAATAATGAGCCAGAGAATAGCAGCGAGCTAGGAATGATAGACACGAGAGCTCCAAAACGCTTCGTTCCGCTCCAGCTCCCTCCTTTCTCCGAGAACGAAACCCTATCTCCACCGTCCTCCCCCGCCGGCGGATCGCTCGATCGAGCCTTGTCCTCAACGCAGTCCTTCGATTCCCTGGGGGGAACTAAAATCACCCCGCGGATCTGTCCAACCGTCGAGGAGCGATGCCGTCTCAAGGGGATCTGGACCGTCAGATCGAGCATCTGATGGAGTGCAAGCCTTTGCCCGAGGCGGAGGTGAGGACGCTCTGCGATCAAGCTCGGGCGATTCTGGTGGAGGAGTGGAACGTGCAGCCGGTGAAGTGTCCTGTCACTGTCTGCGGCGATATCCACGGCCAGTTCTACGATCTCATTGAGCTGTTTAAGATTGGCGGAAATGCTCCGGATACCAACTACCTTTTCATGGGCGATTATGTTGGTAAGTCTGTCAATCAGTCAAATCGTCTTTTTTGACTTCGTTAGTTTCCAGTAGTCACTGAGAGTTTTCTCTGATTTCGGCTTGCTTTCTCGCTCCTTGATTGGCTTCGATTCTAAGATCTCTCTGGTTCAAGATGGCTCCTTGAGTTCCTCTGTTTGATTGTTTGTAATTTGCCTCTTGAGATCCCCAAGGGCAAGGATGTGGATGTGTGATTACTTGAAAGTAGAAAAATGAAGTCAATGATGGAGTTCTTCTCATGACTGAAAGTAACCTTGAAATCATATAAAGCCTTCTGGATCTATTAGGTGGAAGGAAGTATTGATCTCTTTCTCTAAAACTTGCTGTAATGCAGATCGTGGATACTATTCGGTGGAGACGGTCACACTCTTAGTGGCCCTGAAGGTCCGTTACAGGGATAGAATCACGATCCTGCGAGGAAACCATGAGAGCAGGCAGATTACGCAAGTGTATGATCTCCGCGCTCCTACTTTGTGCTTTCGGTTAAACTCTTTTGAAGTATACTCAAGTTTGACGATATGAGTTTCACAGCTCATAGCTGTGGTTATCTACTTCAAGGCAAGGTTTTGATAGTTCGATTTCACCTGCTTTTTTCAGCTATGGGTTTTATGACGAGTGCTTGAGAAAATATGGGAATGCAAACGTTTGGAAGTATTTTACGGACCTTTTTGATTATCTGCCACTCACGGCACTCATTGAGAGCCAGGTAGAATGGTGAATGTTATCTATGGTATGTTTGAATTGGCATTGATCAATGATCATTCTATGCTGAATTTGTGCTGCTATTTATTGATGATGCAGGTTTTCTGTCTGCACGGCGGACTCTCACCTTCTCTTGATACATTAGATAATATTCGAGCTTTGGATCGTATACAAGAGGTAGGTACCACTCTTATGCTTGTTAGACATCAAGCATCTGGGTTCTTTTCCTTCTAGCATTTTATTCTGTCAAAGAATGCCAGCAACCCACAAACCTTTTGTACCCAACCTTCGAACCTGACCTATTTGCATAGATGTTTCTGTAGTTAGTTTGAACACTTGTCGTATGATGCCACGTAGTTTAGTCTGATTTGTTTTGGTCTCTGACTAGGTCCCGCACGAAGGACCAATGTGCGATCTGCTGTGGTCTGATCCAGACGATCGTTGCGGGTGGGGAATATCACCTCGCGGCGCTGGGTATACATTTGGGCAGGACATTGCTGAACATTTCAATCATACTAATGGGCTCACCTTGATTTCACGAGCTCATCAACTTGTTATGGAGGGTTACAATTGGTCCCAGGTGAGAGAGAACGATTCCTCAGAATTGATTATTCTACGGTGCACTTCTTAGTGTTTGGTGATAAACCTTTGGTTTGGTTGATCTATCATCTCAGGAGAAGAATGTTGTAACAGTATTTAGTGCGCCAAACTACTGCTACCGGTGTGGGAACATGGCTGCAATCCTGGAGATTGGCGAGAATATGGAACAGAATTTCCTGCAGTTTGACCCGGCGCCTCGCCAAATTGAACCCGACACCACGAGGAAGACCCCCGACTATTTTTTGTAATTCTCGTTTGCTTGCACACCACATGAGATCAGCCTTCTGTACTACTGATGGTGCAATCAGTATTGTAGTAGATGTGTACTTGAAAAAAATAGATTTTGTTGTGTTCAGAAAAAGGGGTTGGAGTTCGACCGTCAGGACTGATTCTTTGTTTCCACAATCTTCCTTCCCTTCCTAATGCATTAGTTACTGCTCTTGATGCACAAGACAAAACTTACACAAAGAGGCCAAAATCGAACATTGAACAAATCTGAACGAGCGAAAGGAAGCTCGTATAAAACTATGCTCAGACGCATTAGTACCGATGATTTCATTAACTACAACATCGTCCATTGAAAGGCAATCACTATCTACGAGAGCAAGACATACAAGAAACTCAACAATTACAGTGAAACACGAATGTGTATCGAAGTGCTTGGAAGAGGTGGGATGGGGATGGAACATGCTATGCAAGGAGTCTCAGAATGACAAAATAAAAAAAAAGGGTTCAAAACCGAGAGTTCATTTGGATCCTACCTGCACCTGGCATTGTTCCTGTCTGCTTCTTTCGATAGTACACGAACGAACCACTTGCAACCATGAAGAACAGCACAATGCCCTGCACCAAAAATTCAAACATCAGAACTTCTAGCTTGGTGACAATAAGAAGAAAACAAAGAATGTTAGGCACTTCAAATTGGATTTGTAAAGATGAGAACCCAGAACATATATCCCAAATTGTAAAGATGAGAACCAATGTCAGGGCCTCCGGTGAATGCTTTATCATCTGACTCGATAGATATTTGCCTATCATCTTCCTAAACAGACTTTGGGGCCAAACCCCATCGAGGGATATAGGGATAACGTTTCAAGGCATCTAACCTAGGCTAGCTTGAACTCAAGCTTCAAGTATAATGCTCTCTGCGTGCCATTTGAAGCACTCGTTTAAAACTGGGCAACTCTGCTCTAAAATCTACTCCGAAAACGAACTACACAAGTAACATATTGAAGAAAACACATGCAATCCAAGCAACAACCATGTAAGAAAGAAGAATCACAGGTACAATTATGCAGAAAACAAGTCAGAGAAAGAGGAGCAAACCACTTGCTGCCTAAGGAATAAATCATACAACTAATTCACAAATCCCATCCCAAGAGCATAGAATCCGATTCCTTGCATCGATTTTTATTTGAGCTATAAAATGCCATTTGGTTCAATCTTCATCGTACCCCCTTTTCATACTCTTTTCATCCTATCTTTCTCAAATGCAGGCAGAAAGGAGATTCGCATACCTCAAAACCAAGCACTGAAACCTTCTCTTCATCAGCAGGCGGTATGCAACTTCTGTAAGTAATGTAAGCCTGTGATCCACCACCACCATCTAGTTTCTTAGAGTCCTCGGCCAAATTTCTACCTGCAATGGAAGAAGCCTCCTGATTTCCACTACCAGCAGACGTTTCCAGATCAGATCGATTCTTTTTGGACTTTCCCTGTTTTGCAAGCTTGGCACCATCTTTGATCTCCTTACATTTCAACGGGATACGATACCCAGTCTCACTGCATCTGTACTTTGGCTCAGTCTGTTCAAAATTTGGGGACAAACAAAAACCCCCAAGCTTGTTAAAGACTTGGGCATAAAATCTCAATCGATAACAAAAGATCTGACCCAGGAAATTCTAGTCCACACATTCAGCATAAATCAGAAGGAAAGATCGATGAATTAGCCGAATCAATCCTAAACTATGCCAAAGATACCGTCTTTCAATCGGGAAGACTAACGCAGACGGCAGAACTAACCTTCTCTGAGTATTGGCAGGGAACGCAGGCCCCGGAAGGAGCGCAATCAAAGCTTGTGTTACTTCCGCTGGGCGTTTCTTTGAAGCCAAGCAAAACCCTTCGTTGGAACCCTCCATTGCTTCAAACTCGAGAAAGGGGGAAAACATCGATTGATCAGAAAGCTTGCTTAAACAACGAAACCAAACAAACAAGAAGGAAGAGCAATGCGTCCCGAGATTTCACGCTTACATTCCGTGGTCCGAAGGAGACGCTTGGAGCTCTGCAGTTGCCGAGATGGAGCGGCTGGCAGAGGAGAAGAAGAAAAGGATGAGCAAGATCGAAGGATTCATCCACGCCATTTTTTCGACCTTTTCGCCTCTTCCCTTTCACTGGTTTTGTTCATGTGACTATGTGAGTTTCATTCCGGTAAACGAGATACCTGCAAGCAACTAGAAGCCCGAACTTGGATCCACTTTGGCGCGTGATATGGTAGATGGGCCTGGGCCTGACGATTAGAAAGAAATCAACGGTTCTAAGTTCTAACTGTTTCTTTCGATAGAGAAGATGGTTCAACGGTTCTAAGGGGTCGTTTGGAAGTTGGGAGTCTACGAATATGTGTATTCTTGCAATGTATGCATTCTAAGTATAGTGATTGTAAGAAATAGATGATTGTAAGAATATGTTGTTTGGTTGTTGTGATTCTCACTTTTGAAGAATATAAGGATTCTCACTTTAATGACCTAAAAGACTTAGATGACCTTGAAGTTCTCATTATGTAATCATTAAATGAGGGACAAATATGAAATATATAAAAAAGAATAAAGATAAGAGTGTAAAAAAAACAATTACAAAAGTAAAACAAAAGAATCTCACCTTTTTGTAGAGATTCTAAATGAGTGATTCTAACCATTTGAGATTCTAAAGTTTCATTTACATGCATGCATTCTGGACAAATTTACGTTAAGGGGTCGTTTGCTTGTGGGATTTGGGTGATGGATTTGGAACCCAAATCCCAAGCATCATGGAGTTGACACAAATCCTTTGTTTGTTGAGGGACACAAATCCGTGGGGTCCACGGATTTGGACTCCTTTTTTAGATCCAAATCCGTGGACCCCACGGATTTGTAAATCCCACATTTCATTTGGGATTTGACAATAGAAGGAAAAAATGTGAGACAAATCCATCACAAATCCATGATAAAAAATCAACTAAACAAACAATGTACTCTTCCAAATCCATGATGCAAGAAATTCATCATAAATCCAAAGGTTTTTAAAACTCAAAACCTTCATTTTCAAATCCAACAAGCAAACGAGCCCTAAAAGAACGATGGATTGTAAAGAATACACACATTCACAAAATCACTCATTTAGACTCCTTACTTCCAAACGACCCCTAAGTTCTAATTGTACGACCTGATTAGTGGTTCGACTTCTGCCAATGAAAAATATAATGAGTTAAGTTCCAAATAAAACACAATTGAAACTTATCGATCACCTGAGCAAGCTGTTAGCTTTTACTCCTCGTATCCAGTTGATGACTTCTGCTGTTATGCACAAAGTAAACGCTCTCATATGTCAAAATTGCTACTTCTTTTTTCACTTCAGAAGACGGGTCAAAATTGCTCCTTGCTCTGTTTTTACAAATCCACCGTCTAAGCGTAACAAACGAATGCCTCATGATCATTATAAGCTATATAAACTGTACTTACAGGATTACATCCAACAATGGTAGCTTTGTCTACCTCGTCTTCTTAGCTTTGGACAACTTCTTCTTTCTTTTCTTCACGGCCTTGGGGACTTTACTCTTCCGAGCTTCCCTCTTCTCTTCTTTTACTTTCTTCTTGTTCTCTTTCCGAGCAGCCCTTTTCTCGCTGCGACTCTCTTTCTCAGAACCGTTGCTCCCATCATCATCATCATAGTCCGAGGAATCACTCGAGTCTTCTTCGTCTCCACTGGCATCCTCCTGATGAACTGCCAAGGGCTCTTTTTCTTCATCATCAAGCTTCCTTCCTTTCTCTACTTTCGAGTTACCATCATCATCGTCAGAAGAAGACTTCGTTCCTGTAGCTCTAGGAAGAGCATGCTTCAGTCCCGTGATCGTCTTATAGTACATGTCTTCGGTGTCCTGTCCACTCGTCAACCGTATCACATCCTCCTCTGCATTTTTCACATCATCCAGAGTTTTTGGAATGTACGCCTGCATTGACCAAAACATGTACATAGTTAGCTGGAAGTCCATTAGATTTAGCCATCTGCGCTAAAAGTGTTAAACGTACTAAGCACCTGAACAAATACGGAGTCAGCAATTTCATCCTCAGCAGTCGGATCTCTGGCCATTATTTTTTGTTGGACCTGAGGACAAAGTATAAGGGTCAGACAGACAGCCCACAGCAAACTGGCAATTAAGGGATTAATCAATACAGAATGCAAGAACCTGTTCCAGGTAGATGTCAATGGAGTCGTCAGCAATGGTTGGGTCGACTATAAAGTCAAACAGCTCCCTAATACTCATCACACCGACTCCATGTTTCTTAAAGAAATCCTGCAAATGCCAGCCAGCCAACCTCATCAGCAACTCACCACCAGCAATCCTAAAAGTAACAAATTTCAAACAAAAACAAGAGCATTCGTACTGTACTGCATAAAGGGCCTTACAGAAACATGAACACAATCTTCACGCAAGAAATCAAGGGCCCGAGGATGGTCAAGATCAACAGCTTGAGAAACATCAATTATGTGAAGATGACCCTACAATACATATTATAGGTAAGTCAGTCAGGTGTGAAATTTCCAATCAGATAATCAACCCGCATTGTTGTACAAGTTCCATCACTTTTAGTTATTTATTTTTGCCAACCAAAGATACATAAAGAAGCAAACTTGCGGCTATTCTGAATCAATTTGGATAAACTAAAAGCATGAGCATTACCTCGAAATAAAGAATGTTGTATTCACTAAGGTCCCCGTGTACCAATCTGCATTTCTGATACAATGTCCGCATGGCAATAACCATCTGGACAGCAAAATCAAAAAGATGTCATTAACTAGGATCACAAAAAAATATGAGACAATGAAAACAGATAAATAATTCATCCATATCTTAATGCATACATCTTCCAAGAGAATCCTCACCCCTAGTCCCCTTCATCTACTCATATAACACAGTCCAAATAAGAAAAAAGAAATCTTAACCTACAATACTCGGAATAAATCATATACATTGGTTTTCATCACCATGATATAAAATAAAATAAAACTAATGGCAGTACTGTCACGCTCACCTCCATATAACCCTCACGCAACTTATCCAACGATAGGCTAGCATCCTTAAGACGGGGTGCAGCCCAACCAGCTTTCCCTGTATTATAATAGTTACAAAAGAATCAAACAAGGTTCAAAGTGAAACAAAGAAACTCAAGTGAATGTTGTATGCATATCATACAGAAATTATATGAAAAAAAGTGGATTCTGAATCAAAGGCAAACTTAACAACTTCCAACCCAGAGAATAAATACAGTTACATAAAAGAAGATTCCCAACTGAAATCAGAGCAAAGAGTTCCATGGTGGCAATACATTGGGAAATTGACTTTCAGTTAATCCTCCGCACGTGCTGCTCTCTATAATGAGAACTCCCGGAAAAGGAGACAGTAAGAGACACAGGTAATTACCTATAAATTCCATAGCCAGGACATGTAGCCTCAAAAGGTAAGGAGTTGGGCACCTGATTCCAGCCGCCTTTAGCCTGCAGTTGACATTGAGTTTCAAGTTAATCTACAACTGGAATAGCATCGTCTTTGTCTGTAAAGGAATTAAATGCTAATTTTCTTTCTGCTTCATTTAATTCTCAAAGAAAATAGACCATGGAGGGAAACTAACACAAAAGTACCGGAAACCAAAAGCAGTAGCTTTTCCATTATCCAAGATTCCAAATGTTTTATCAATAGCGAGATGGAATAAGCATTGCCTTCGTGGAAAGTGTAAGGACAGACTCGCTCATTACCTCAAAAGGTTTCGCATTTCCTTTTCAGCCCATGTCTTTACCATTTTCCTTGGATTGTGTTTGCAATAACCAAATCTGAACCGATAGTCACCTTGTACATACCGATCCCGATCCCTGATTTTGTTTGAAATTAGCTAGCTGAATCACAAGAATACACCACGCAGAAACCAGTAACACTTCAACTTAGCAAAAACTAGTTCTGACAGTTCGTTCCCACCAGCTATAGTTGTTGAACTAAGACCAGGGCTTGATCAGTGATCACTTACGGTCAGTTGCTTCAGTAAAACCAACATATTTCTGAAATTCCCATAATAAAGAAAAGTCGACTTACTTGAAGACCAGTACTGAAGTTTTGTACACTTTAATTGCCAGCTCTTGACCATCAGATTTTGATGCATGGTAGACATTTGCCTGCAAAGTGGAACCTGAAGTTACAAGATGACTCATATATTTAACCAAATGTGAAGGTGGACTTAGAGAAACAATCAAACAATGCCATCCACTTCAGACAGCTCAAGTTCGAGATTAACGAGTACGGCAAAGGCAAATCAACAGATATCCACAAACCTCTTTTCCAGTTGAGATACAGCCATTAATATCATTAAACACCCCACGATTAAGCATTTTGAATAAAACCATCCTTGTCCTAGAATCAATGGCCTGCAAAAAAGTAAAGTCAACATATGATTAGATATACCAAATAGTTAAATCTGCTTGTGAAAACTCTGCTCAGAAGGGGCTTTGAATCAACAGGGGCCATGCACAGGAAGAATGCTAGGGAATGAGCATGCAGCAGCGAAAGCATGAGTAAACTGAAGGCCAAAATAACATTGCAAACTGTAGTTAATGCTCGGTTTCAGTACAGGCTATTGTCCCAAAAAAAGTAATGATTTGTGTTTAAACATAGAAAGGGTCTACAATTCCAAATTTCCCTATTATTCATGCACAAGCTCATAAAAGAGCCCAACAGTTTTTGACGAAAGACAACCCAAGTATAAGTGATCACATACACTCAATGCTGTTGTCTCTCACAAAATTTAGCACGTAAGAAAACCCAACAAGATGGTTAATGAGATTTTACCTGCTCAACAGTAGCACGATCTGCTTTTTCAGTGGTTTTAGTTTTTCCGATTGACATGTCTCGCACGCTCCCACGAATTGCAGTCGTAACAGAGTTAGACATCCCAACGTTCATCCTCCCTTCCCACTCCTGCAACCATAAATTACATCAGCATCAAATCCATATAAAACTTAAACCAAGACTTTCGTAACTCAAGACTATCACTCACTAAAATCATACCTCTAGAGGAGAAGCTCGGATATGATGGGAGAACTTCTGATCACGATTGGAGAGAGGTTGAAGCGTTGAGGAGGTAGGCCGAGAATGGAGGCCACCATGAGCATTTGGCCGCCTGGAATTCAGCGCAAAACTTCCCTCACCCGCTTCGCCATCATCCTTGGCGTCCAACCAATCCAAAGCATCCCCAATTTCAGAGTCCGAAGACCACAAAACTTCGTCATCTTCTCCTTGTTCTTCTACTTCTTCTGTAGCTCGGCTCGTGGCTAGGTGTTCTAACTGCTCAGAGTTTTCCACCATTGCATACACTTACGTATCCAATAGGAGACTTGAAAACAAATCCCTAAATTGGAGACGAAAATTATTCAGTACTCCACAGAAACTGGTTTCTGTGATTGAAGCAGTTTCAGTTAATCGATACTAGATAGGGTTTTGCATAGTCCCTAGGGCTTTTATCAGCATGTGACATCAGATTTTAGCTATATCAACCTGTCCTCTATTTAACAATCTTTTATGTTTACACAGGTACTGTTGGGTGCAAGACTGAACCAAAAAGATTGAACATTTGAGGCATGGCAGTACAATCCGTAATAGAACCACGATGAAATCATTCTAGAAACCAAAATACAACAAATGTATTTTTCATTGGAGGTACCAGAACTGCAAAACTATGAACTGGCCAGGGGATCCTGATGTAGCTACACCTTCTTGTGCTGCTGTATTATGTCTGATCAACATGAATCCTTGTTAGTTGAAACAAACTACCATGAAACAGGAGCTCTATTTCGGTGATTTGGAAGATAGTATTAAGGCAAACAACGAGTTACCCTCTGATTATCTTGGCCACCGCGCACTAAAACTCAACTGTTGGATTTTGAAAGTTCCAATTTTGAGGTTGTGTTGAGAAGTAATTCATGTAAGAGATGGCCCCAATTCTTTAATGTAGGATGTTGACATGTTGTTGAAAGATAATGGCATACATGTAACGAAATACATATCATCAAGATTCGAAGAATCTTTAATATGAATATAATAGCAGTAGCAGTACAAATACCAGTACCCACTGCATCCAAAACACATGAATATACCCTAATTTCAATTTTCATCTGGTAGCAAGTTCTATACGAGTTGAAGAAAGAAGGAAATGTAAGTCTATCTTTTCACGAGTACGAAAGCTGTAGTCGTGAATTGACTGAATTCAACTATACTTCCAATTATGGAAAAATGGACCCGGAGAAACTGGAGACAATCTTACCGGCAGATGACCGGCGGCGACTGATGCCTTGGTCGGTGAGAGAGAGAGAGAGACACACAGAAGACGAGACGCCGGGGAATGTTAAGAGCAAACGGCGACAGGAGGCAGCAAAGGGGGTGGACTTGCGGCGGCGGAGGAGGCAGAGTTGGAAGGTAGAGGCAGGGGAACGGCGGACGGCAGACTCTTGAGATTTTGGAACTTCAGGGGTTTTGCATTTTTGTATGGGCTGCAGCGTTAAACCAGATATTGGCAGGCTCGGCTAATAGTATGGGCTTGGCTGTGGCCCAATGAGAAGCCGATCATCTAACAGCCTGTTTGGAAACGCTAAATTTTGAGGAAATGGAATTCCAATTCTCAAACTTTTCATGATTCTCATGTTTGGAGGTAAAAAATAAAAAGGAAATGGAATTCCATAAGGTAAAAAGTTGGAAATTCTAAATCCTATCAAAAGTGGTCGGAATTGGTGGAGGGGGTGATGGAATAAGTGGACCCCATATTAATTTTGACTCACTTTTACAAGAAAGCTCTTACTACTTTTGGATTTGAAATCATTAATACCAAGGATATTATTGTAAAAGCACTTGTAAGAAATCATTTCCATTTTTTTCCAAACATACAAAGATGAAATCATTTCCCAAACTTTTGGATTTGTTCCAAACATAAACTCTTAAAATGAATTCCCACTTGAATTCAGATTCTCACAAGAAATGAAATTCATTTTTCAACAGAATTATATCCAAACAAGCGGTAAATCAGCATAAGCCGGTCGTATTGTGGGCGTGAGAAGATGGCCCAAGAATTATCATGGACGATTCCTCCCGTTTTTCGTAGACTCAAAGCAAAGGATTACAAAGTAGTATTGTACGGATGGTTGTAACTTCAAAAGAATGGTATCTGAGTCAAATTCGAATAGTACAAGCACTAGTATTAAAAATCGTGTCAGCTGGATTTTTAGAGGTTGAATTTATAAATTGCGATATTTCAGTTTATTTTAATCATGTCGAATGATCCGAAAAAATAAATTTTCAACATTAAAAGGGTAAATGACACATTTGGTCACTGAGATTATTAGATAATGTCATGTTTAGTCACTAGAAAAAATTAATATCAATTTTGGTCACTCGAATTACCGAAACTGGTCAAATTTAGTCACTCTCCCGTCAGTTTCCGTCCAACTCCATTAATGTAGTTGGACGGAAACTTTTGGGAGAGTGACTAAATATGACATGTTTCAGTAATCCGAGTGACTAAATGTGACATTTTTTAATAATTCGAGTGACCGAAGTTGGACAGAAGCTACAGAAGAGTGACCAAATGTGACCTGTTTCAGTAATTCGAGTAACCAAAATTGATATTAAATTTTTCTAGTGACTAAATATGACACGATTTAGTAATCTCAGTGACCAAATGTGTCATTTACCCAACATTAAAATGATGTTGAAAGTTAGCGAAAAAATAAAAATTGGGTAGAGCCTTTCTCTCCAATAGAGCTTTAATAGTCATTTGCTCTATCCTTTGCTCTCTTCCTATAAAGCGACACTCAGCTCTCTCTAGTAAACAAAGATCGAGGTCTCTCTGACAACTGGGATAAAAGGTAAAGTTTGCACTTTGCAATTGCGTTTAGTTAGACATAAATTTAAGATTACTTTGTGAAGTTGTGAATTTTACTATATGTGCCTTTTTGCCTTGGTTTTTCATGTCCAATTAGTTAGTAGTTAACTTATTGATATCCTATGTGATTTCAGTATTTTTGCGGTATGATAACATATTTATGTCGGTACGATATTTTCAAAATATTATATTTAAAAATAATACTTTATCATTATAAAATGCTTGAATCACGATCGTACTACAAAATATCCTATCATAGATTAATTCGAAATAACCTCAGGTGCGGTTTTTAATCTTTAATCTGAGGTGGTTTTTCTTGGGATTTTTCCAGAAATAGCACCTTTTAAAAAAAAAATTACAAAACTAGCACCCATCCGAAAAAATTGCCAGGAAGGAATATCACCCTTTTTTATGGAACGCACCTTAGAGGTGCGTTTTATGCATAAACCGCACCTCTCAGGTGCGTTATAGAATCCTGGACCATAACCGCATCTTGGCCAAACGGTTTCAGGTCTGACCTACAGAAACCGCTTGGCCGAGGTGCGGTTTTGGCCTGACCTATCTAAACTGCATCATGAAGGTGCGGTTTTGGTCAATTAATTTCCGACATGCCCATGCAAACTAACAGACGTGGGTCTGCATGGCAGACGAAAACCGCACCTCTAAGGTGCGGTTTTCATCAGTGATTTTGCCTATAAAAGACTTCCCGGAAAACCATTTCTCTTCACACCTCTCCTTCTCCCTTTTCAATTTTCTGTTGTAGCTCTATATTTCTTTAGTAGTTTTGCGATTAACGTTAACTCGTAAGTTTATCTTGTATTACTTTTTATTGTTATTTTTTATTTTTTATTTTTATGATATTAACTGAACTACGGTTTTTTCGCAGATGGCATTCCAACCGTTCACGCTTGGCTTACGGTGGAATGGTTACACGGAAGAGACCGGAAAGGGGGTCACCTACGTCGGTGGCAATTTTCAGAAGATAAAGGTCGCTACCAGACCGCTGCTTGAAGACCTCCATCAAATGTGCACTAACGTTACTTGCATGGATGACACGAGAAGAGTTGATCGTATGGTGTACCGATATCCAAACAGAGAAAGTGGGTCATTGTGGCATGAGGAATATCTCATAACCACTCAGGATGAGGTAGATGCCATACTCGAATTCTTGAGGTCCAACAATCTTTCAAAAGCCGAGATGTTCGTTTACACCGAGCCGGTCGTAGGCGTTGGAGGTCATTCTGGACACGGTCAAACATCTGGTATCCATGGTGGAGGTGAATTATATGGCGATCATCCCGATCAAAGTTACCATGATCCACATTCCTATTTTCAGTACCAAGAGCAAGGTGAAGGTCATCATCAATCTTTCCCGTCATGTGAAGAAGAAGTTCAACCGGACCTCCCCAACCAACCTCAGTACAACTTCCAATCAGGCAGCGGTAGTTTTCACAACTACCATTATGGAGCTGATGAAGGTGCCTTTCATGAGCTGGATCAGATGGAGGATGCCCTGCCAGCACCAGTCAGTGACCCCTCCGATGAAGAAGGAGAGAACAACGTCAGTGCAGACAGCTCCGACCCTCTTGAAGGTGCTGATGATTCAGGACCAGAGTCAGACTCAGCTAATGATGATGAGGTGGCTCGTGACCGTGTACCAGTCCCCTACTACAATCACATTCCAGACGACAATTGGATGGTCGACAGCGACATGGAGCCGCTAGAGGTCCCAATATGGGGTCCACTCACTGGGTTTATGAAGGGCCAACAATTTGGCTCGAAGAAGGAGGTGCGACACGCCATTGAGACTGAAGCAATGACTCGACATTTTGAATAGCACACAACTCATTCCAACACTAAAAGGCTCATAGTCAGATGTCGTAATCATCACGAGGGGTGCAATGTTAGGATTCGGGCCATCAACAGCAAGAGACACGACCACTGGGTCATATCCCGTGCAGTGAACACACACACATGTGTCTCATCCATAACTTCCCAAGGCCATCGACAGTTGAAATCCAGGGTGGTTGCTGCGGCTATCAAGCATCTAATTGAGCAAGATCCGGATCTTAAGATGAAAGTCATAATCGCTGACATTGCAAGTCGTTATGGTTATACGATTAACTATAAGAAGGCGTGGCATGGAAAGCATAAAGCTCTAGCCACCTTCTTTGGTGATTGGGAAGAATCGTATGCATTCCTTCCCAGGTTAATTTTGGCATTGGAGGCGTCTAACCCTGGCACGATTTTCTCCCCTCGATACCAAGATGAAGAGATACAACCTCCAGAGCCAGGTAACAAGCGCCATTTCAGACGACTTTTTTGGCCATTCAAGCCATCTATTGAAGGTTTTGGCTTCTGTGTCCCTGTGATCTCTTAATACCCGATTTTTCAAGGTAATGGGAGGATATGATAATCGCTTAAAACCCCATTTCTTAGACGTGCATCTCTTTATAAAGAGTCGAAGTAAGTGCCGCTATATATTCGATTAAATTATTGAAAACAACCAACACGATTAAAAAATCAACATAAATTTATTTTATATTCCACTAAATACTTTAACAAAATAAAAGAAGGACAAATGGTGAAGAATTGTATGTACCGGGTGATCGTTCCAAACATCCCTTGACCGATGGTTGGGTTGGTCGTACAAGTCTGTTGGTTCCAACGGTCCTTGCTCGAGATAATACCGTTAGTTGTATATATCCACGTCTTCCCCAACCTACGAGAAAATAACAACGAGGTTAGTACAAAGATTAATTAAATAGATTAATTAAAAAGCTTATAACAACAACAAAAATTAAACCAGAATAATGAGTACGTACCGCTTGAAATTCATCGACATAAACTCCCTCTCCTTGCCACCAATCGGCCATTTTTTGGGAAATTCGGACAGAGGTTCGGCTCGGCGGGTTTTGAGAAAAAAACCTAAGAAATATTTTCTGATGGCAGATCGGACTTAGCCGCAACCAACAGACCACTATTTCCTAGGCTTTTGGGAGGGGAGGGTTTAGAGAGATAAAATCTAGAGAGAGAAGGAAGAATGGGTTGTGGTGTGAAGAAATGAGAGGGGAAGGGGGGGTATTTATACCCAACAGACCGCACCCTCCAGGGGCGGTCGGGTAATTTTGCCCTCATAGAAAACGCACCTTGCCGAGGCGGTTTGGGTTTCCCCAGGCTTGACCGCACCTCGGCGATGCGTTCCCCGATCCGTGGCGCGGATCGCTCCACTGGCGCGCGTTTAGCGCTCCGATCGTTCCTCCATCCAACGGTCTTCAAGACCGTTCCACAGAATCTGAAGACCGCATCTTGGCGCTGCGTTTCTTGTGCTGACGTGGCTTGGAACGCACCCCTAAGGTGCGGTTTATATGTAAAACGCACCTGTGGGGTGCGGTTTACTTATAAAACGCAACTTAGGAGTGCGTTCCATTAAAATTGATGCTATTTATGTCAATTTTTTCGGATTGGTGCTAGTTTTGTAAAAAAAAAAATAAACGTGCTATTATTGGAAAAATCCCGTTTTTCTTATGATAAATAAGATGGCATAAGCAACGGTTAACATCTTTTATTATTGAAACCTTTT